TTCTCCAATTTAGGTTCAGTAACCTTCCATGATTTTTTCTCCAACCACATACAACTCATGAATCTTTAAACAATATAGAACCAAATTTCACACTCTACCACACGGAATAAATATTTTACATAGGTATTGTAAAGTGGGTGCCCGTTCCCGGCTAATGGCCATCCATATTCGCTCTCTTAGCATATTATTCTCATTTAATGAGTTGTACATTAACTTTTTCAAAATTGATCCTAGAATCACCAAATGACATTTTCCCATGTTTTGATGTTATTTACACGGTATCATGAATTATTTTTCGATATATCCCACTTCATTTCAGTACTCCAGTTAAAATATGTGTGACTCTAGAATTCTAAACGGATGTGTGACAGAAAAAAATAAATCAACTTAGTAATATAGATAATCAAATCAATTCTCTTTAACTCTTTTCATCTATTATATAAAGAAGAGTATCCTTCCTTCTAAGCACTGCCACGTCGGCTGACAGCTCAACAAGTCCACGTAGGACAGCTTCATCTTCTGCGTTTCATTAAGTCTCGCGTGATGGGTTTCGATCGATGGCGTTATTGGGCTTTTGAACTTGGTCAGTTTTCAGACCCGAAAAGAGGGAAGTGCTTCTAACCCTAATATCAGCAGTCAGAAACGAAGGTCATCTGCTATTTGGAGATTCTTTTCTCTCTGAAACCAACTATGGAGATTTGAGATACAAAAAAATGGAGTTTCGAGATGTTTAATCAATGTAAGGCGTACCTGTTTGAATCTTCAATCCCAACGTTTTGAATTCTTGGTGTTCATGTTATTCTTCTATTTCTCAAACCAACAGTGTTGTTTTTCATTATCTGATAGCAACAATGGAGATTCGAGATACCACTATACATGGACTCTCGAGCTGTTCAATTGATGTGAAGCATCTCTATCTAAATCTCCACTTCCGACTTTTTGCCTTCCGCTCTAATCAATTGAAACGATATGAGTTATTGCTTCATCGCTTTATCAGACTTATCTCCCATTTCCTTGCTTTTTCTTTGACTCTCGAGTCTTAACCACTTCTCTTAGGACAAAGTAGCTTCATTTATCTGTGAAACTGTGTTTAAGTTGTCTCTCCTAATCAGCAAGGAACAACACGTAAGCATGTTCCTTCTTAGGTTCTTTTGTCTTTCTGATTTTTTTGCTGTTTTGTTGTTTACGTTGTTTTTTCTGTGTTTTAAGCTTTTTATATACGAACATGTTAAGCTTTTATATGCTGTTTTTCTGTTTTTATTTTCTGTGTTTTCAGAAACAGCATATACATCACTTCTGTTTTTTCTGTGTTTTAAGCTTTTATATACGAAGATGTGATTTCATATACAACATTTATGTTTACTGTTATTTCATAGAAGATTAAAAGATGAACACTCAAACTGAAAGTGTTAACATTGGTAGTAATTATATTTTCTGTGATGGATAATTTTATATTTTCTTATATTGTGGGTGCCGTTTCTATGCCGTACCCGTATCTAAGAAGTTTAAGTTTGATGTTTTCCATCCCTGTTCCAGTTTCCGGTTCCTGTCCCCGTCCCGGTGCTGCTTAGGTTCCGATTCTAGAAAAACACTTCAGGTTCCAGGTAATCTACTTGCTAGCAGTTTCTCACAGATTCACCATTACAACCTTTAGGATCTTAAAATCTTATTCCTTTTCAGACATAATCTGTGAGCTCACATCTATAAAAAGTTATCCTTCACAAGAAAAAAATCATGTCATGACTACCATTAAAATTCATAAGTAAGTATCTAATTCATATCGGGCTCACTTAGGCTTTCAAAATCAAATAGAAACTTTTGGGAAAATAAATGATGCGCATTCTTTACACTGTCTTTTCTCCTTGCAGTGACGTTTCTGTGACGTTGAGTATGTTTGACTCAGAAGCTGTATCATTCCACTGCCACCCGGGCGGCTTTCATTTGATCCTAGAGTTGTTGTAGCAACTACCATAAATCACAAAATAGTAGGAGGTACTCTGTCACATATTCTATTTGATGTTTAACTAAGACCAAACCTAATGCTTCTTGGAATATTTAGAACATCATTGATTTGTGCAGACCGTTCTTGAATGCCATATCTGGGACACAATTGATTTTGACAAGGAAACTAATGCCAGGGAAAACCTATATATACATGCAAGTATTTGGTAGTTAAATATTTTACGTCCAGATTTGGTTTGTTCTATGACTAATCCACAACATGCTCTGTTGTGTTACTGTCCATCATTATAGGCTGGACTCTCAAGAGACTGGGAACATATCATTGCTTCCTGTTGAGGGGCTATTCCAAGGTAGAGCATGTGACCATAGTTGAACTAAACGAATTTATCCTCACTGCCCAGCTCAGGTTGTACATAATCTTTAGTATGATTGTATTTTTCATATTATAAATTCTGTAGGTGATTTTGTTAATGTAAAATGTAGGAGGTTGAATTTTTCTGCACCGGGAAATCCATTGGATTTAATATGGACAAAATCTGGTGCTATGTATCTTGCTCCAGATGTACAAAGAAGCTTCAGTAGACTGTCTCATCCTTTACTTTCGCAACCTGCAATAACATCAACTCCGTTGGTATGTTGGACCCTGCAATTACTTGATCTTCTTATTACATTAGAATGAGGTCCCGTGGACACATCAGCAACCAACATACATTTAAACATTTTATCTTATGTAATTGTGTGGAGATCCTATTGCTGATGAGACTGCTGAAAGTCTATTTGTTGTCGATGTAGAAATGTAGAAGTTACATAACATCCAAGCTTATGAAATTGGGCATCTCTTGGTACGTGCCTAAGTTAATGATTTATTCATTTGTTGAATACATAGGCTGGATAAGGAAGAAATCCAGAGAACACAGCTACCCCTTTTATTGCAGACATGGCTGGCAAAACATGCACCGTCAAATTAGCAGCTACGATTTCACAGTTAACCCCTAAAACTTCACTAGCGTGATCGTCTGCCACTCCCCTGAATTTGTAGTCCATGTACGTTTAGATGATATACCATTCTGGTCCTTCGATACTATTATAAATAGGCTTTTATAATATATTGTTACGAGATTCCCAGTTTATATGACTACTTACCGAGAAACAGAAGAAGTGCTATTACATGTCACCGTAATAATATTTCTTTATCTACTTAAAACAGATTAAGAAATTTGTTTTTATGATATACCATAAGTTTTATTTATAATAAAAACAGTTGTACGCCTTTAGTAAATTTCATAGCTGTACTCCTTTAATAATTTAACATTTCCACTAACCAAAGCACAAACATACATATACAGAATACCCGTGGCTAACATAAGTTTTGCATAATTTGTACTTTCTTCTCATAAACACAATCTATTACATATACATAATAGATGTTTATTAAATATAACAGACCTTAACTCCAAAACGTGATCCATAAGCACCAATACACTCTCTAACTGAAGGCCCCATGTGTACATATATTCCTTTGTTTTCCAAGTTCATGATACTCTTAACGGGTTGGAAAAAAAGTAACGTAATAGGATTTACTCAAATTAATCATCGTGTTCCACATTGTCGGTTCGGTTTTCTCGATTTTTCGGTATTTTGATTTATTAAAATTAGTTGCCATATTAATACCATATGTAGTTTGATTAGATTTATATACTAGCAGTTTTGAGTTTATTCGATTTTATAACAAACACTATACTATATTTACTTTTTATGACAAATTTTAGTGTATATGATTGAAAATTAGATTATTAAAACATAAATATATATTTTTACTCTAAATTTAAAGTAGAATATCTTATTTTTATTTTTACTATTAAAAATAAAAATAAAAATACTAATCTCATAATATTGTCAGTGTTTCTAACCACAGTAAGTAACCTTACCAAAACTTAAATAACTCTCAATTAGTAGTCACTACTTAATAAGTATAGACAAAACTATGTATGCAACATAATTATACTCTTCTTATACTACAATTATACAAATTCTACTTGATCCGTGAACCAGAAGGTTGTCTCGATTTCCAAATAATTATGTCTTCTTTAAAAAATTTAATATGCAACAGTGTGAAGTATACCATTTATTTCTAATATACCATAAAATAATGTACCAAAAAATTAGTAGGAGACAAACAATATCTTAACAAATAATACTTTCACAATTCTGCTTAAGTAGAAATAACATATAGTCCAAATTCCGCGCGTAGCGCGGACCGGTACTAGTATATCATATTCCAAAAGCGTATCAATCAGGACCAAACGGTCCAAACCCGAAGCCTGACCCGGGTCGTGAACTTATTAAAAGTTCTCTGTTTCGATAATCGGCAGCACCATAATCTCTCTTTTTTTTTGTTCTCTAAACATTCTTTACAAACCTAAACTAAAACAGTTCGTTCCTGGGTCAGACACACTCACTCCATCGTCGAATTCAAATTCACAAACCCCCACGTCTTTAAATCGATTTTGGAATTACTTTGCCATAAACCCATAATTCGCATTGAAAGAAAGTATCGATCTTTGTACCTTTTTGAAGCATCTTGAAATCGAAAAAAAAAAACTGAGTCTTTGTGGTAATATTGACATCGTAATTCCAAATGCAAGACTGACTAATACTTTTGCTGAGCTTTAGGCTTTTGTGGTGAGAGTTTTGTTTGATTGGTACGACCTTACATTTTCAGATTTACAATTCGTTGTCTCAGTCTTTATCTTTTGATTCATTCTGATCTGTTTTCGTTGAAGGCTCTGACTTGACTTTACTCTGTAACTGTAATTTTTTGCAAGTTTATTTATGATAAGAGAAGACTTGAGATGTTTGATTTTTTATTGAAAATGGATGCAGTATTGTTAAGTATACCTGATGATATGTCTGACAAGAGACATATCTTTGGTTAGTTCCATTGCAGTTAATCTGTACTTATGTCTATTTTGTTAATGTTTTTTTTCAGATATTGAAGGGAAGTTCTAGTTTCAGAAAAGGTGTTGAGGAAGAAAAAAATGGGACAAGAATCATGTTCTCAAGAAGATTGCTTTGACTTGTTGAATCAGTTTGAACATGTTCTTGAATCTGACCCTCTCATGTGAGTATCAAATCTTCTCTCTTTTTTATTCTTTTTTTTGTAGATTATTTACTAAGACAGGCATTGGATTGGCTTCTTCCTGTTACACTTTAGTTTTTTCTCTATGTTTTTCATTCCAATTAATGATCAGAGAATATTCGTTTCTTGTTGATCATAGTCGTAATTGTGTTCAGTGAGTTTAGATTTCATATAACTCTGACTACATCCACATGAGAAGTCGTAAATATAAGCTTAGACTCTCTCTTTCTATTATGCTTCCTCTTACTTTGTTTTTTTTTTTTTTTTTGGTTCTGTCTCTTTGAATTAAGTGATGAGGTTGGGTTTATTCACCCCTCACTGTTCACAATTCTGGATAAAGAAGCAGGGTCCTCCAGTGAGGAAGCCTCAACAAGTTTCTGGAATCAAGATCATAAACTTGGAATATCTACTGATATACTTATTCAATTATGTAAAGTTGCAAAACATGCGTTCTTGACTGCACTTAAGGAGTACAAACGCCATGAAAACGCATCTAGTGAGTTCCTTACCGAAAATATCTCATCTGGGGTCTCTTGTCCTACCCTTGAGAGCAAAGTCATGAAGCATAGCCAAGCACTTTTGCTGTTAAGCTCAGACTTTGGAACTGCATGGAATGCGAGGTATTTAGAAAATGAAGTTAGCTATAATTGGCTTGATTTGTTTTCTAATGTTTTACTTCTTTGTCTATAGGAAGTTGATCTTGTCTAAACAAAATCAACCCTATGGATTCACGGAAGAGCTTCGTCTTTCTAGGCTCGTTCTTTCGAACTTTTCAAAGAGTGAGCCAACATGGAGCCATAGGTCGGTCTTTTATGACTCTTCTGTTACTAGTGAGAAAGAACAAGAAACTTATGCCTTAGGATTAGTGTTGCTCATAATATTTTGGTTTTTTATTGTAACAGAAGGTGGATAATTAAGATGATCTCTCAGAGTTTTTCCACACCACAAGAGATTATCACCAAAGAGTCTGAGCTGGTGGAATCAATAGGCGAGGTTAATATCAGTTCTTGATTTTATGGTTTATGTATAATGAAGATTCATCATGAAATAGATATTGTTTTCTCCTTATCTTCACTAATCTGTTGGTCCTCAAAGTCTACCAGTCTCTATGCAATTCCTAATGATATGGAAAGACAAGCACTCACTCTGTTTCTAAAAGTTACTGGGTCCTAATCAATTACTTGCCTTGTGTAGAGATCAAAGATGAACTACCGTGCATGGTATCACCGTTGCTGGTTAGTTTCCTACATGACAATCGAGCAGGTAAATCATTCTCCACATTTTCTTCAGATTTCCAGATCGTTTGAACATATATGCTGTGAACATGTTATCTGGAATATTGAACATTGTTTGTGTTAGGTGCTACAAGAGTTGAACAAATGTAAAAGGTGGGCAGGGCTGCATGTAGCTGATAGTTCTTGCTTCCATTATCGCAGAGTAAGACCAGCTTTTATAACTATTGCAATTCTAGCAAAGCTAGAGTATACATACATGTAGTAGCAAAGGACTTGCGAACTTAATACAAATCATGTTAAGTCTTTGGAAGTATAAAGTACACAACCAACATTCTCTATACAAATCTGGTCAAGTTTTCAATGCAGCCCACATCCAAATTTTTCTTTTTGCTTTAATGAGCAGCGGCTGATGCTCAGGGTTTTAGAGCCACTTAAGGTGAAAGGAAGCAATGATAATGATAAAACTGAGGCACATAAAATCTGGATGGTACGCTTTGTCTTTCTTATTATTTACTTCTGCTGAAACTGAGAGAAGGGCTCTTAAACCCTCTTTGTAATAAATGTGACAGGAAGAGCTTGATTGGAACAAAGAGTTGGTAATACGTTACTTGGGACGAGAGGTATGATCATCTTTGATCTTCAAAGAAAAACATTTAGTATAGATAGAGATGAGCACCAACATCTTTACTGTATGATCAACAACGACTTATTTGAGCTGCTGCACTTTTTCTTTCAGGCACTATGGCTTCACAGGAGGTTTCTCTCACTAACTTGGCTAATGTATTTCTGCGGCAATCAGTCATCTGAAACCGGAGAGTGTATTGTCATGAATGAAGAAATTGGTATCTTCGTTGATAATGAGATCTATCTTCTTCAATCTTCTATGACCTTTCCTGATAACAAGTTTGAAGATTTCCAAGCTCAAGCACTGCATGCTTCTGTCTACATGCTTTGGCTGACAAAGGTTAGTGTTTGGTCTCTTCTTGTCCGTATAGATTTGAGAGTTTTTTCGTTTAATAGAATTTTCCTTTTTCTTCTGGTGTTATATTTTCCTGCTAAATCATCTGATGACTCATTTGATTCCTTATTTGTTTATGAGCAGAATATTCCAGAATTGTGGAGAATGCTTGAAGAGAAGCTTGGAACAGAGAAACTCAAGTGTGTACTGAACACAGTTGATCAAGAGAGACCCTCCTTGCTTTTGCATCAGATAGATATTTTTGCAGCTAAACATAACAATGATTGTTGACTAATGTTGTTGTGATACAGTGATGTCTCAATATTGTACATCTCATATTTGATTTTTTTACTTGAAATAAAAGGTTTCCATGTTTTACAGCGAAGAAAAGTATCTGATAACTATTAAGTCCCACATGACATAAATCAAGTGTTTGGTGTTATGGCTCTATAGAAATTATTCTCGATTGGATTAAATATTTCGAAAACGATGGATATCGATTTGGTTTATTGGCTTTTTTTTGTTGCTAAACCCGTCGTTATGAATTTATGGCCATGGTTAAACTTATCTTGTGTATAGGAATCGTGCCACAAGTTAGATGCTCACTTTATCTGCGTCGCCCTTATGGAAGAAACATCTATAGTAAACGAACGAATTATGCGTGGCTACTTTACTAGACATACATTGATATTTTTAACCACGTCCGACAAAGTTCATATACACGCATGCATGGGCTCAGATTTTGGTTTAACTTATGTATTAATCTTTTGACTTATTCGTGTTACTAATCATAGCGCTAAGGAGTATATATATCATAGGGCCAGGTTAGTTTTATAAATTAAGATAAAACACATCTTAATATCGTAACTCCATTGGTTAGACGTTAGAAGAAGTTTGTCTAGTTATTGTTATTGACTTACAGTTGATTTTGTACGGCCTATAGAAAAGTTCTTCTGGATGTGCTGTCCACAACTAACAATTGTATTCTTAGATAATTCTGAAATAACCTATTTATATGCAAATGCATGCACCACTTAATGTATTTAATATACCATGATATTACCATAGGCAGAGAAGAAAGTAACAACTAATAAATTACAATATACTAGATGTACACTTATGTAGCACACATATTAGTTTTAGATTTTTAACACTGTTTAAGTTTAAAAAAATTAACACACTTTTACAGGCGTCTTGCTTTTTTAAGGCATACAATATATTTCATTTTGTTAGAAAGATCTAAGGCTGGACAATCGGGTTTCGGTTTGGGTTCATTCGGGTTTGGGTTTTCGGATTCATGAATTTCAACCCCATTCAGATATTATAAAAATTCGGGTCGGATTCGGTTTGGATTTAGTCGGGTTTGGTTCGAGTTTACTAACATGTCCAAGATCCGATTGAACCTGAAACAGTTTCGGTTTCGGATACTAATCGGGTTATCGGTTCTAAATATACTAATTTATACTCAATTAAACTCACTATATTTTCAATCATTTTATTAAATTTGTGTATTTAGCTTCTATAAACCATATTGTTCTCCTTTAAAATAATATTGTGAAACTCGTCTATCAACCATATAAGATTTATTATTGAACTATATGTGACAACATTAAATATATCATGATTAATGACAAACCAAAGTCTTGTATGAACGAAATATTATACATAATGAAACATCAAAAAATTAAAGTTAAGAATTAACAATTCTATAAACGTAAGAAGAACTATTTAAACTTTAAAAAAACAACATTATATAAACTTTAAAACAAATTTATTCGTAATTTAACTTCAAATGTAATGTCAATCATAAACATTAATATTAATCAAATAACACTATATATTAGACTAAATATTTGAGTTAATTATTTATATCATAACTAATTATTTTAGGTACTCAATAATATATTAATATGTTTTGGAAACATATTAGAAATTTAGATTGGATATGATACAAGTTTTCTGGAATTTTAAAGTTTCGGGTTCTTTCGGATATTCATTTAAATTCGGGTTTGGTTCGGGTAATACCTATAACCCGAAATATCGTAAAACAAGATCCATTCGATATTTATGTCGGGTTTGGATCAGCTCGGGTTCTTTTTTATCGGTCGGATTTGGTTCGGATTTTCGGATTCATTTTTTTTGCCCAACCCTAGAAAGATCTTAAATTGTTTTTTTTTTTTTGACATGACTAAAACATAGTGGTGAGCATGGTAAGCACAGAACAACAACCAAAAACAATAAAATAACCACGCCCAACAATGGAGGTTTGGCCACTAAGTTATTTTGATATAAGTAAAGATCGATCGAATCAAAACCAAAGACACTCTTTATCCGACATTTATACAGTCGTATTTCATTATTTTTATTTGATCTTTACAGTAAACAAATATTCACCTTTTCCAAAAGCATGATTTGATTTCTTTGTCTAGTATATTTTGCACTAATCATCTTGTTGTGACCTTAAAGGTGATTTTAATATCTACTATATTTAAATTTATAAGTTTCTTGCTTATATTATTTTTATATAGTTCATGATTGTACATATATAATAACACAAAAAAGAAGAAGTTAACTAGCCATTCCAAAATACCTAGATTTTGATTGATTCAACCAAATAATATAGTTCATCACTATTTGACTACACAGAACGCAATTTCATTCTTTGAGATTCTATCAAATAAAGATTGATATAAAAATCTTTGGGCTCCGTTTGGAGTTGGCTATCTAAAGATCATTGGAGTGATCTGGTGTTGAATAGATTTTTATTAAACTCCTAATACTATATCATCAACAACCAAAACCCCATCTCTTAGCATATCAGAATTTTAAGTAATCTATATAATAATAGTACACTTTTGAAGTTTTTCAGCGTGTCCACGTCAGCAAGTTTGCGGACCCCGCGCGTGTTTTTAGGGAAAACAAAAACTTATAAGATTTTGTAAGATTGAATGTTATCGATGAGTGATGAAATGGCCCAGTGGTGTAAGTTGGTGACGAGAAGTTGGTACCGCGAGTGTGTGGGTTCGAAACGCAGTGGTTGCATGTAATTTTTTTTTAATTTGGGCTTTTGGGCTACCTAAAAACTTAGGAAGATTCATAATGATTTTTTATGTTGGTTGTTGGGATACAAAATGGCTTAAGGATTTGAAACTTTATGAAACCATCTTAGATACTTTTATAAGAAAGGTTATCATGTTCTAACCTCCAATATCATTTCAATTCAGTTATAATCATCAAATAAAATAAAAACATATTTTTTCAATAATAAATATTTACTCCGAATCATTCAGATCGGCCATAAATCTCATATACATCACAATTAAAAAAATATATATATATATATACAACATAATTTCAGAAAGAAAATTACACTAATAAACACATGTTTTTTTTGTCTTGTCTCCATTAAATTATTTTTTTACATGAAAGCACTAATAACAGTAATGCTTGATAAAATCACTAATAAAGGGAATGCTCGATAAAATCACTACGAAGATAAAATATGAAAATATCAACCCATATGAATTCGATATTTATTCTTTTATCAGACTAATCAAGTTGTGTGACTTCTAATGTTTCATTCATCACCATTATAGATAAGCCAGATAAACAAATGTTAAAAAACCCCAGCAAAGTCTCATACACAAAACTACACAACACATCAACAACGTATCCAACCCCCACGCTTTCGCGGAGACTATGAATCTAGTCATTATAAAAATACACTTACCACAACAAAACAATTTGGTTTCCAAATTCCAATCAAAATGATACTATCTTAAGACATTAAGACAAGCTTAACCTTACAATTTTCTTGGCTAACAAATTAATTTTTTTTGTTCACAATTTAATTGATTATGTTTTTTCATTAATAATGCTAATGTCATATTGCCACCTAAGCAAAATTGTCATATTGACTCGTTAATACTGTCACATAAGGTACCACCATTCTACTTTTCTTTCAGAGGAAAGTTTCTCCTACATATTCTACCGCTATTCTGGTTAAAGTTGAAACCTAATTGGCTTTCACTTACCTACTACAAGCACTTCCACATTAATAATACATTGCCAACCATTTCTTTTATGTTGATATATATTCCTGAATCCTGATCAACACTTGAACCAGTTTCCACCATTATATATTTATCTGGACCACAACATTGATAATTTTAAAAAACATTTTTTTTAGTTTTTGACCTTTGCACTTGTTATTGGGCTTTTCTAACATAAATTATTTTTTACATATAGAACATCTTTTTTCAATTCTGAAAAATATAAACATAAGCGCGCGCCAAATGCTAACATATTATTTCCTGCGTTTAAAAGTTTTAGGAATAATTTTATACGGTAGTATGGTGTAAATAATGGTAAGTAATCACTTTCCACCGTGTTGACCCGTAAATGCACGTTTAGGATTAACCAAAAAATTATTAAATACGTTAACAATATTATTTCCAACTATTAAAACGTAACATAAGAAAAATTTACAGAAACCACCACTGATCAATGATTACCAAACCTATTCTCCTAAGTTTTGTAAAATAATTTTATATGCAAAGACCAGACTTTTTTGTTGCTCCGAATCTGAGATACAGACATGACAGTGTCAAACCAATAGCTACGACCTTTCCACTTAACAGACCAGTAAGCACGATCACGATCACAACAATCCCGTTCACGTTATCTCCTTTTGATTCTTCTATCAATGGTGGACTCGACTTCACTTCGTCTCTCTCGGACTCGATTATCTCTGAATTATCCTCTGAGACCAAGCTTGACACATCACTCAAAGTCTCTTCTTCAATCTTCATCGTTTTATTCTTCTTCTTGTAACTCCTTAGCTTTTTAAAAATCTTCGTTTTCAGCTTCGAACTTTTGTTTGTCGACTTCTCGTCCTTTAGCAACAGATCACGAATCCTTAAAACTTTCAAATTCGAGTTCTCTGTTTCGGAGGAATTCACGTTTTTGTTTTGGACCGAGACTACTGTCTTTTGTTTCTGCGTGTCGAGCTTGAAACGCGTGAGCACACGCGCCGTCACGAGCTCTGTCAAAAGAAGTGCGAAAGCGGAGAGTGTGATTCCCATAATAAACTTCTTCTTCGTGCTCAAGGCGAGCACGGCTACTATTAGAACCTTAAACGCCATCAAAACAAACGCACCGCAAACGCAACCGTTTTTTTCACTTGTGTGGATATTATTCTCCGCCGTTAGTCCATCGAAATTTACTTTCTCGGTCTTACTTAGAACGGGCTTTTCTAAAACCGCGTCTGTAGTAACTGGAGAAGAAGCGTTTGGAGCGGTTTGAATCTGGTGCAGGATGCGTTTGGTTCTAGAAGATGATTTTCTTAGGCGATCGCGGTTTTTGAAGAAGAGATGGATGAGAGAAGTTGGGAAGCCAGTTTCAACGACCATGATCCCGCCGTGTTTCGGTGATTGTTGGAGTTCAGACATGAATCTTGAGAGTCGACCAGGTTTCTGTTTGTTCCATTGTAGAGACATGGCTATGTACGGAAAAGAGAAAGTTAAAAAAAGGAAAGACTTTAAAGTTTCTATTGAGTCTTCTTTCCGAAGACTTGAGAGTTTGGGAATTGGTAGAGGAGAGACTGATGAGATTTTGTTGAGTAGTGGAAGCTATTAATACATGGAATGGGTGAGGAGGTTACTGCGCAGAAAGTGAAGATGGAGACCGCTTTTTCCTTTTTGTGATTTAAACAAAATAAAAACGACTAGCTTAATGATGAGTATAATTGGCGAGAATACGGAAAGAGAGGAATATAATTTTAAGTATTAGTCTAAAGTTATAATAAAAAAGATATTAGTTTTTTCTAAAAGGAAAAGAAGTTCGAAAACTTTGAAAATTATATTAAAATTTAAAAGTTTGATAGAGTAATTTTTGTTTATTATTTGGATCTGAATCATTAGCTCCATCTATGTGTTGTGTTAAATTATGTATTAAACAATAAAAGCAAGCTAATATACACAATTTAGAATATCTAGATCGGAGCCAAAATCAAAATTAGTGACCAGAAGCAATTTGTGTGGGTTGGCATGCATTAAACCAAATTCTATTCTATATACTGCAAGAAAATGTAAATGTGTTATGGCCCATGTGATTTAAATGGTGTAAACTAATGTATTAATAGTATGAAATCTGGACATAATATCACAACTTGATATAACTTTAGGGTGATAGATATAAGTTAGCAAATTGTATTGCAAGGATCCACTTTAACATTTCTTATACCAGTAAAAGACATGTGTGCATATAATTGCTTATGTGCATAAAGTTTTTCATTCTGTTCTCGCAACCTGGTTCACTGTATTATACGTTTTTTTTTTTGAAAATTGGAAAACATTTGAGATTTATCTATTCTGCCTTTCTTGGTCCAGTAGGTTTTGTTTTATTTTTCTTTCTTTAAAATTTTCAATTTTGGGACATATACTCATTTCACGCCTATAGTCTTATTACAAGGAAGGATCCTAGGGTGAACCCCCTGACATGGGTCGGATGATAGCATTTTAGCCTATACTCATTTCCCCTCTTTTGGCCCAAAAGCTATCATGCATATATATACCAAAATCAACCAATTATTGTGATTATAAACAGTTATGTAATTTACAGTTTATTTAAAGTTATAAATTGTATAAATGCATAGAAAAATAATTTTAACATCCACATATCATACCACTTGGAGTAGGTCTAAATTTGTTACAAGGAACATATCGACCAAAAAATGGTATCACATGGTGTATAATGTTGCTTTAGGTATATAATGTTGTTGATAAATTTAGTATTAGTCTTCTTAAAACTGCATAAATTAGAGTCCCTAGCTTCTAAAAGTTCCTTTAAATATAAAGAGAAAAAGTTGAGAACTAGATAAATTAGGTTTGAGTGTTGAACATGAGGATCTTGATAAAAACCGACACTTTGATACAATAATTTTTCTTTCCTGCCTATCCCAAAAGGTAATGGGCCTTTTCAAACTAGAGAAATAGCCCAATCTTTATTCGAGCCGGCTCTTATAGTTGTTTAATCTGTGTTGCATAACAATTAGCCGTACTTATCCATAAGAACAAAACCGAGCCGGTTAGGCAGATATTTTAGCCAGATTTAAAACTTTTGCCTTGGATCTAAATCTCCTTCACTAAAATCCAATTTGTCACAACAGTGTAACTGGCATAACGTTACACAATTTATTAATAGTGGGAAAACTACTCCTTAATTATTAATTCTGTTTTTAATAGCAAAAAAAATATCTCAGGACAAAGTGGGACACACACAGATAATTTGAAAATCCTCCGCTGTCATACAGCACACAGAGTACTAAACCCAAACAAATAAAAAACAATCACGCCATCACTAAAACACCCAACAAACTACAAGGGCACATTCTCAAACAAAACACCGTAAAAAACTCATCACAAATAAAAACAATCACGCCATATATAGCCGATTATTACCCCCTTTTTTCTTTATTAAACCTATTTCAAAAATAACAATAAAAACCCGAGTCGCCATCCCTTTTCTCATTTTCTCTTCGAAACAAAAACAAAAAAACAAAAATCCCAAAAAAAGGAGAGAAAATGAGAGAGATCCTCCACATCCAAGGCGGCCAATGCGGGAACCAGATCGGGGCCAAGTTCTGGGAAGTGATCTGCGACGAGCACGGGATCGACCAAACGGGGCAATACGTGGGCGACTCTCCCCTCCAGCTGGAGCGCATCGACGTGTATTTCAACGAGGCGAGCGGGGGGAAGTACGTGCCGCGCGCGGTTCTGATGGATCTGGAGCCGGGGACGATGGATTCGCTCAGATCTGGGCCGTACGGGCAGATATTTAGGCCTGATAACTTTGTGTTCGGGCAGAGTGGGGCGGGGAATAACTGGGCGAAGGGGCATTATACGGAGGGAGCGGAGTTGATTGATTCGGTGCTTGATGTTGTGAGGAAGGAGGCTGAGAACAGTGATTGTCTACAAGGTGAGATGAGATTTTGATTTTGAATCTTTGAATCTTGAGATTATGGTGTTTGGATTCGGTTTTTAGGTCTGAATGAATATTGAATATTGATTTTGGAGATAAGTTTGTTAAGAGATGTTTATGGTGGTAAGATGATGTATTGGTTTTGGTCTTGAATTTTGAGATTGTGGTATCTGGATTCGGTTTTAGGTCTTCGTTGATGAGTATTGAATCTTGATTTGGGAGATAATGGGATAAGTTTGTTATAAGATGTTTAATGGTGATGCGGTTACATTGGTTTTGATCTTGAATCTTGAGATTATGGTGTCTGTATCGGTTTAGGTCTTTGTTAATGAGTATTGAATCTTGATTTTGGAGATAATGGAATAAGTTTGTTATAAGATGTTTAATGGTGTTGTGATGCATTGGTTTTGGTTTTGGTCTTGAATCTTGAGATTATGGAATCGGTTTAGGTATTTGTTAATGAGTTTTTTTTGTTTGTTTGTTTTGTAAATGGCTTTCAATTGTTAATGAGTATTGAATCTTGATTTTGGTAACAAGTTTGTTATAAGATGTGTAATGAGTATTGAATCTTGATTTTTGGAAATAAGTTTGTTATAAGATATTAATTGGTCATTGGTTTTGGGGGTGTTTGAATAGGTTTCCAGGTTTGTCATTCATTGGGTGGAGGAACTGGATCTGGGATGGGAACGCTTTTGATCTCTAAGATAAGGGAGGAGTATCCAGACCGTATGATGATGACCTTCTCGGTGTTTCCTTCTCCTAAGGTCTCTGACACTGTTGTTGAGCCGTACAATGCGACTCTCTCTGTACATCAGCTTGTTGAAAACGCTGACGAGTGTATGGTTTTGGATAACGAGGCTCTCTATGATATCTGTTTCCGTACCCTCAAGCTCGCTAATCCCACATGTGAGTGATTTTTTATATAATTTCTTTCCTTTATGTAATGTGATTTGAGTTCTTACTTGTTTTTGTGGTTTGACTAGTTGGTGATCTTAACCACCTCATCTCGGCTACAATGAGTGGTGTTACTTGCTGTCTTCGTTTCCCTGGTCAACTCAACTCTGACCTCAGGAAGCTCGCTGTGAACTTGATCCCTTTCCCAAGGCTGCACTTCTTCATGGTGGGTTTTGCTCCATTGACATCGAGAGGGTCACAGCAATACAGTGCCTTGAGTGTTCCTGAGCTGACCCAGCAGATGTGGGATGCGAAGAACATGATGTGCGCTGCTGACCCTCGTCACGGACGTTACTTAACCGCATCAGCTGTGTTCCGTGGGAAGTTGAGCACTAAGGAGGTTGATGAGCAGATGATGAACATTCAGAACAAAAACTCATCCTACTTTGTGGAGTGGATCCCAAACAATGTCAAGTCCAGCGTCTGTGACATTGCACCAACGGGTTTGAAAATGGCGTCGACTTTCATTGGGAACTCGACTTCGATCCAGGAGATGTTCAGGCGTGTGAGTGAGCAGTTCACAGCTATGTTCAGGAGAAAGGCTTTCTTGCATTGGTACACTGGAGAAGGCATGGACGAGATGGAGTTCACTGAAGCGGAGAGTAACATGAATGATCTTGTTGCAGAGTATCAGCAGTACCAGGATGCTACAGCCGGTGAAGAGGAGTACGAGGAGGAAGAAGAGGAGTACGATGAGGCTTGATATGTTCGTTCATTAATGGCTTCTTCGGATTCATAAGCTGTGTAAGCTGCAGCTACTTTTTAAAATCTCTCCTTTTTGTTTTGTTTTTTTTTCAGTTTGTGTGCTTTGTTCGTTAAAACTTAAATTCGTTCTGGAATATTAAACGTTGGCATGTATTGGCTTTATTGTTTTTATCGGTGAAAAATATTGCTTTTGTTCTTTCAAGTTTTGTGTCTATGATCTTTAGGGCAAAGCTAAAGATGATCCTGAAGCACTCCTTTGATATCTTTTCTCCGTTATTTTCTTTGAGTAAATCTGCGAACATCTTCCTTGCTTTGCTCGTCATGCAAAGTGCATTAATAGTATTCGACTCTGTTGATTCCACACTCTCCGCGTTCTACTTCTCATAACAACGTGTTGATTTCAAAAGTGTTCCTGAACCTTACCTCCGAGCAGCACCGATGGTATCTCATTCTGCTGGGGTTGTGTAATACTTTTAAAGGAATACATGATCCCTGGTTCAGGTCCAGTTAAGAGCTCGGAGAGAAGTTATGGGAAGAGCTAAAAAATCTCTTGAATGATCCGCTACTGTAGGTTGTTCTATTTTCTGCTAACATCTTTGGAGCCCATTCAAAATACTTGTAAAAGGGTCTTCTTTCCATTGATTCCCTAGAGACTTGTCTTACATCCTCAAAGCAGAGATTTAGCTTCCGGAATTCTATCCATACAACACGCAGACCGCAAGGCTACACAGCTTGTTATGCTTCAAAGATCAAGCTTTACTATCACAGTAGAAACCAACCTATTGAACTCGCTTATTTGATGAAAACACTTAATATGCTCTAATGTGTTTAATAATGTATCAATAACCTATAATGGTGCTCTGCGACATCTAAAGACTTCAAGTTCTTGTCCTGTTTCGTGGAAATAGAATTCTCCTTGGATTCGCTATGATGCCAAACCGGTTCAACACAATTTCGGGTAAAATGACAGGTTTTCTTTGGTAAGGAGATATTTTGGAATTAGAACATATCCAACAGTGAAGGCAAAGGCAAGAATACAATCAAAATTGTTTAACTTAAAAACATATTGCTTTTGTTTTTCTTCTTGTGTTGTGTTATGTTATTTGTTATCTCTAAAATAAAGTAAAAGATTGATGCTTGCTTGCTAATGTAAAAATCACACAAACTTTAATAGTTCTGAGATACATTTGGCCCTGTTCGTTTCTCCATTTGGATGAATCCATTCAGCTGTTCCATTTGTGTGCTCTATCTAAATGATCCATTCAAATTTTTGGTCATGTTTGTTTCTCCATTTAGATGAATCATTTGAATGAACCATTTGAATAGATTTTATGTTTGTTTCTCCATTTAGAGAGACGCGGAGAGAGAGATACAGAGACCAGACGCGGAGAGAGAGATACGGACCGGTGAGGAGAGGGCGAGAGAGCGACAGTGAGGTGAAAGCTTAAGCTCCTTTCATGGCGAGAGAAGGAGAGAATGAGATCTGAGACGATGGCAAACTAGAAAAGATAAAAAAAATTAGGTTTGTAATATTTGAGTTGAACTAAGGGTAATATCGACATTTTATGATTTCAACTGAACCAGATTCAGTCAAATGGTCCGATTCGGTTCAGTCAACTGATTCTTCAAATTAAACCTAGATTTTCGAAAATCATTCAACTGAACCATTCGAATGAGCCGTACATTTTGTGTCGAAACGAACAACATGCTCATCTTCATTCAAATGGCTCAGATGAATGAAGAAACGAACATGGCCATATTCTTGAAAGTGTGACGATACTTTTGATTAGTGAATATACTAGAAGAAATCAGAGATTTTTACAAAGAGAGCAACTGCAATCCCTCTTTCATGCAAAGAATCAAACGCTTAGAATATCTCTGATATAAAAGACGAAGATGCATAACATATACTTTTAAACTGAAATCTATATAATAATGATTCACTTTTGAAGCTCCTAAGGCTATCCACATCAGCAGCCGAGTGGGCCCCATGTATTTAAAGTTTTAAAGTTTATAAGTTTTTTGAAATGACTATGAACAATGAATACACTTTAGCAAAGTGGTATAAAACATTTAATTAAATCTGCAAGTGTGTGGGTTCAAACCACGCAGTTGTAAAATTTTAGTTTTTTCGTTTGTATTATTATCATATGGGCTTTTAGTTTTAATGTTTTTATGTTTTTTTTCCTCTGGACTTATTGTTTAAAGCCCAAAATAGTGGAAAATCCTAAAGTTTGACGAACTCAAACCCCAAAACAATTAAATATGGATCAAAAACGAATATCCAAAAAAAAGAAAAAAAAAACGAGTCTCACGCGGCACTATCATGTCCTAATATATATTTTTGTCAGAACATATTTCCTAATATATATTTTCAAAAAATTATGTATGTGAAATAAAATAAAATCTATATAATAATGATTCACTTTTGAAGCTCCTAAGGCTATCCACATCAGCAGCCGAGTGGGCCCCGCGTATTTAAATTTTAAAAGCTTATAATTTTTTTAAAATGACTATGAACAATGAATACACTTTAGCAAAGTGGTATAAGACATTTAATTAAATCTGCAAGTGTGTGGGTTCAAACAACGCAGCTGTTATGTATTTTAGTTTTTTTGTTTGGATTATTATCATATGTACTTTTTAGTTTTAATGTTTTTATGTTTTTTTTCCTCTGGACTTATTGTTTAAAGCCCAAAATAGTGGAAAAATCCTAAAGTTTGACGAACTCAAACCCAAAAACAATTAAAAATGGATCAAAAAAACGAATATCCAAAAAAAAAAGAAGAAAAAATGAGTCTCACGCGGCACTATCATGTCCTAATATATATTTTTACTGTTAGAACATATTTCCTAATATATATTTTCAAAAAATTATGTATGTGAAATAAAATAAAATACATAGTTTTGTTATTTATAAAATAACTATGTAATTTCTCTTCAATTTTTAATAGTTACTATAATTTCATTTTTATCAGATTCCGGCGGATGGATTTCTATAA